AAGCTTGCTGCGGATCTGAGTAGATCTCGGAAGCTCCAGCAGTAGGGTTCGAGAGCTTGAGCGCAGGTGATGGAACCCACATCCTCGATGCAAATCCGAATCCGAAACCCTGACGACTCGATTGAATGCACCAGTTCCAATCCATCCTAGAGATCCCGTACTTCTCAACCTGGATGTCTCGACAAGTATCGCAAATCCGGCCCAAAATGTCAGCAGTTGCAAAGTCGCTTTAGGATTTAAACATCGTTGTGTGAAGCCCGGGGCTTCTTGAAGTCTTCAGCAGCTAGGATCCTATACTATACAGGCTAGCTTTTCAGAAACCGTTGAAGCCAAAGCCTAAACGAGTTCATAGGTGCAAGCCCTAGTGATATCTACTGATGATATGGCGCTCCTGCCACTGCCAGATGAGCTTCCCGCAGGCTTCTTGCCAACGTTTCTCTCGCTGCAGCTGCCGGAGGACAATGCTTCTTCTTGGCTGCTGGGCATGGATCTAGGGTAAGCTCTTCTTGAGGCCAAGAGAACACCCCTAAGCCCAATACCCCCAAAAAGGAACCCTATTACCAGCAACCTTCCCCTCCCCCCCCACCTCCCCCCAAAAGTGCGCAAGTTTCTGGGGCTTGGTTGGGGAACTTCGGGTCCCAGGGCGCCATCGCGGGGCTTCCCAAAGTCGGGATCAGGATCCCCAACATCAGGGCCCGCATGAGGTAGGATTTATTGTAGGGATTCGGTGAGTGTAACTTGGCTCCTCATCGGCAATTGATGAGTAGATGGATTGGGCTACTATGCCGGGTGCTAGTAAACTAGTAGCGTAGCAAGACCCGACTTCTCATGAGGTCGAGGGCTCAGGGTGTCGTATCGGATCTTCGGGCTTACCCGAAAGGCGAATGAGTTCAGGGGCTTGGGGTTTAGGGTTTTGAAGCGTATCGTCTTAAGGGCGTGAGGCTCTAGTGTGCATCGCGTTGCGGCTTGCTGCGCCGAGGGAGCTGCTGGCACTGCTCCTGGCGGTTGGCTACTGTCACTTCAAGGCCTTTAGTAGAGCACGCGCTGCTAGAGGTGAAGTTTAAACCAAGTGAAGGTCTAGATTCAGAGATTTGAGTTGGTAGGATATATTGCATGGGGTTTTCAAGGCTCTGAGATTTTGAGTTCCGGGGGCTTGGGAGATAGACGTGAGGAGTCAGAGAGATGTTGTGGTCAGACGAGCGTTGGATGGAGCATCCTCGACATAGGATCTTTCTTGTAATCACTCCGCCCCTAATCCACAAAACGCAGAACTCTGCAACGAGGAAGGGCCTCGGGACCCTCAGCCCTACAACCAGCCAAGACCCTTATAGTCGAGCTCGCACCGAGAACTAGACGGGCCTTGGGCTCGTCTCTTCCATGTTCATTCCTCCAGCCTGGGCCGTCAAGATAACCCATATTTTTCACACATTTGCAGTGCAGACTGCCAGTGGTCACACCGAGATGATAGCACGATTGTGCTTCCTTTAGTGCTCCACCCTCCTCGTCCCGAAACCTCCTCCCTACTGCTGCTACTGCCCTGTTAGGCAACCCACCTCTCGGAGCACTCCTTGGGCACTCTCCTGGGCGATTTGGTCACTTTGTTGCAGGAGGTGTAGGGTTCTGAACAGCAGTTTTGATTAGGCTTGAGAACGTGGTCTAGGACTCTCAGGAGGGATTTATAAGGGTTCTGTCAAGGTTTTATTGGGGGGCTCTGTGGTGTTTCCACGGCTTTAGTACTCCGGGGTTAAGAGTTTGGGTTGTTGTTTAGGCCCCTGCTTATGGAGCCCCTACCTACAGGAGCCTCACGGGGAACCATATTGAAATAACATACAATCCCGTAGAATCCGCATTAGACCCTACCAAACCATTTCAAGATTCTACAATCCAATACAGCCCTTATGAAGCCTTGAGCCCACAATCTGCGGCCACAGACCTGGAGGCTTCAACCCAAGGGTTCCACAAACGTACGAAACTTTGGCAAGTTTAGTGTGATATGTGGTCTCATAGCATACGGCCTCACGGGTTTTTTGAAAGGGTAATCAAAGCTTTTTTTGCGAACAGGGCTCATAAGCAGGATCAGCGGGACAGTTCGAGAAAGAAGACATTCACGCTGCTAGGAGTTCATGTCGTGGCCTGGATCCTCAACAGGTTTGAACAGTTTAGAGTGGCTCTATGTAAGCTCTAAGCTCAGCATGCTGCAATGACAGCATGATCTCCTTGCCTTGCTCCAGCCCCACCAAGCTTTCCTGCGAGGCATGGGGCGAAAAAGACACTGCGAATTCGAAAAAGCTCCGCACTTCATAACTCTATCATATTGTGTTATATTCTTGTTGTTATATTTAGTAAAGTCTAGTCTAGTTTAGTCTAGTCTAGTCTAGTCTAGTCTAGTCTAGTCTAGTCTAGTCTAGTCTAGTCTAGTCTAGTCTACTCAATTCTATTGAAGTCATAAGGTCACGGACATCACCTTGGGCCTTGGTTGGCGGGAGGCCCGTGCGGCTGTGATGGCGCCTCCGGCCCCTGGCCCCTGGGCTTCACATAGGGTTTAGGGTTTAGGAGTTAGGGTGGCGGGGGGACTTGGCCGGGCGAGCTCCAATCAAGCCCGTGTAAAAAAAGGAGTTAGGGGGGAGGCTGGGGGGGAGGCGGCTGAGACTGCAGGGGTTTTTGGCTTGGCTCGTCGGGTTTAGGATTTGGGTCATTCATGCGGGTGAGTCGGCTTCAACTTTTTTCGTTTTCAGAAATAGGTTACGGAATTCATGTCGGATTTGGATTTCAGGGGCTTACAGAAACAAGTAAGGCTGCTGTGTGGGTGTGTTGACGTTGGGCTTCGGGTTTATCAGAGGTCTACAGTTTATGTGGACGCTCTGTAGGGGGTCCCATGGCCTCAGGGCGCCTTGTGCCAGATTTTGGGGCCTCTGCATCTTCTACATCTACATATAAGGGCAAGCAAAACACCTGCGTGCGAAGTGCACCAGCAGCGCAGATTGACGCAGATTGCCGAGGATCCTTACATTTACATCCGCAACCCGGCACCCGCTAAGCCCTAAACCCCGAATCCTAGACCGCAAACCCTCCACAACTCTTGACAAAACGATATTACGCGCTAGTAAGCTAGAATCCCAGACACGCCTGTACAGGGACTCAGCAGGCCCTGCACTTGAAACCTGAAACCCTGAACCCACTTAGCACGAAAGGCTCGCAGCTCCATGCGAAACTCTGCGAAAGCGGCGAATCAAAGAGACGTGTTGCCTGGGGCTTTTTCTGACGGCCTCTAGGGTTTCAAGATGTAGGGTTATGTAAGGGGGTACAGTCTAGGGTGCTTGGTTCTGGGGTGCAGTGTAAGGTTGCGGTTCAGGATCGTCACGATTGGGTTCCTTAGGCCTTCGGTCGCAGTAAGATTTCGTGTTCAGGCATTCTGTAATTGTGTGTTCTACTTGTAGTGGGCTTGCATTGGCAGCAGGGCGTTGCAGTTCCAAAAGTCTCTCGACTAATTTGTTAATTGGGCCAGATATTCTCCAAGCCCCAGTTCTGCGGAGATCCGTGAAAACACTTGCTTAGCTTCGTCGCGAAGTGTCATGTACTGTCGGGACAGGCCTGGACCCTAAGCGGCCCTACATCCGAAACTCTAACTCCAAACCCTGAACCTGCAACCTACGCCTCTAAGCCCCAAACCGATACACCCAACAGCCAAACCCCCCTTTTCCGAGCCTTATAGCACCCTTAACGAGGAAGCCTGAACTAGGATTCAAGCTCAGCCCATAACCCAGAAAACACACCTGAAATACACAGCTCTACTGCCCTAAATATAAATATAAATATAGATATAAATAAATAAATAAATAAATATATATATATATATACATCCCTTTATAGGAACCGTTGCAGCTCCCTAAACCCTAAACCTAAAGCCTAAAGCCCAAGTCACCGCAACGGCAGCTGCTCAGAGTTCACAGAAAGCTGAGTAGCACCGAAGCTTGCGGCCGGGTTCTCAGTGTGAATTCTGCTCAATATAGATAATATGAATCGAAGCAGTGTCACACCAGAACTATACTAGACTAGGCAAAAGAAGCGAATTTGGCTGGTAGCTATTCCAGACTTCCATAGAGGTCTGCATATCCTACTTAGTCGGGTTTAGGCTTCAGGATTGTACAAGGGCTGCTGTGGAGGCTGGATATACGAGTTCCCAGAAGGAGTTCTAGAACCCTTTGACCTCCATGTAACAAAGTGGTCGGATCAATAGCTACGGGTGTCCCCTGAGAATCCCTAGACACAGTAGAATATACCCCCAAACTCAAAAACCCTGTTCTAAATATGAAGGCTCTGATATTGAATCTGCAGGCAATTCAGCTTGACTGTTGCAAGGCCCTGCATTTCAGGGCTTGAACATAGAGTCCGGGATGAGTCTTGTCTTGGGGTGCGTGGCAGAGTGCTGCTGCAAGGACCGTATGAGGGATTGCTTTTGTTTGCTATTGTCCCCGAACCGTTTGTAAAAAACAACCACACCTTACAAAACCCAAGCGATTTCCATTCATGCTTATACCGACTGCCACGGTACCCACAGCCGCAACTGAGTCCGGCGGCGAAGGTCACATCTAGCCTCAAGCCTGGCTTGAAAACCCCTAGCCTCCAAACCCGGAACACTCGACTCCGAACCCTTAGGTTTTAGGGTGGATAGTTTTCATGGCGTTCAAAAGTGTTTTTGTAAGGTCATACATGATGGCATAAGGTTTGTTGGTTATGTTGGCCCATCATGCTCGAATGGACCACAATGCAACCCGAAACCCCAAGAAGCAGTCGTGAGTACTAGTTAAACCCCGGAATCACCCCCAAACCCTAAACTAAGCCATAGACCCTTAAACCCCAATGAACCCGAACTCCTTGGCAAACCTGGCAGAAAATGATCAAAGCTGAGCACAAACAGCGTCATACAAACCCTACAAAAAACTGCGAACCCCTATAATCCCTAACACCCTACGGAAACTCTGAGATCTCGCAGGCCCACCATGGCATATCCGAGCCCTGGCGCTGTCCCGGCGTCACCACGATCGAGCAACGACGGGTCGCTGGGCTTTGGCTCTTTCCTCCTTCGGATTTCCTTTACGGTTTTAGGGTTTAGGACTCCTTTCTGTTAAGATAAGATTCATGTTCATGTTACTGGTACAAATGTGATTGCTGTTATTTGGTACTACTCATATTGCTATTGTTATCAAGTTGTTTTCATGTAACATATTTATCTTTTGTTGTGTCATAACTGACACAATTATTCATGTCATGACCATGACTATTGCTATTATTGTTTTTTTTAAATAATCGTCCATCTTAGTAACCATTACTGCTGCTATTGATTGTTACTGTTGTTGATCTTAGAATTCCTTTTTGATATTTTTCTTGTAGTTTACAACCCCCAGAAAGCACAACAAGCCACATGACAAAGACACTTATGAAATGATCACATCATCAAGGCCACTACATATAGGGGCTCTTCAAGATAAGGATCCACAAGGGTTCAGAACTTGTTCTGTGGTTGTTTAGGGCTAGGGCTGTCCTCGCCTTGAGTGCTTTGGGGGAATTGGGGATGTAAGGGCTTTAAGGGTAAAGGGCGCAGGTGTAAGTTTCAGGCCGTAGGGTATCAGGATTCCCAAGCCCGGATGCAAAAAGGATTGCGGCTGGAGCAACCAAACAGAGTGGGGTCTGTGGTCAGCGAGCAAAGAAGCAATGACATTGCTTTTCAGTTCATCGGATGCTTTTGCGGATGACCTCCACCCTGGAGGGTCGGCAACCTTTATCCTTTGTGGGGCAGTATACAGTAAGCCGCCATACATTCCCGACAAGTAAGTTCAAACAGGTTTTGTATCAGGTCAGATCGTGTTTTGTATGATTTTCCTAGACTTAGGCCCTAAGCCCTGAGGTCAGATGCTGACGAGGATGATGGCGAGGCGCGATTGCCGGGTGCTCTTTCAAGCCCAGCGGTTTGCATTTTCCTGGGCTACATGCGCGGTGTCCTCAAATCGTTTCTGGGAGCCCTTTCAATAAGGATCTCACTAGTATTTGAGGTCTATGTTACGGTCCCCTGTTGTGGTTCATGTAGGAACTTGCTCTGGGTCTGCAGGCCAAGGTTGTCTTTTGATTCGCGTTGCTTCTTTCTTCGAGTGAGTTGTTCGCAAGCCCCATTGCCAGGGCAAGCCCTCCTGGTGCAAGAAACCCTAAACCCTAAACGTTCCATAGGAGCCCGTAGGTTTGATGTACTTAGGTTACGGCTCCAAATATTCAATAACCTCTGTTAGATCTGGGTCACATGCAACTGTGATGTCTGCACAACTGCCTGGAGTCTTGGGGTTCTTTGCAGGCAATGATCAATGTCCAGAGAGCAGAGCTTGTTCGCGGGCACAGGCATGCGAAATCTTGAATCACAGAAAGCCATTTCAGGAAGTTTAGGGTTCTGCGATTTGGAGAGAGCTTGTTCGGGGATGATTATGGGTTTGGTTTTAGGTTCTCAGGTGTGCGGCTGCTTTTTAAAGAGTTTTTGCAACCCGTAGGATGTAGGGTTCTGGGCTTCGCGGCTTTGGAATTTAGTGATTTAAGGTGTAGGGTTGAGGTTTTGTGGAATTCGTAAATCTAAACCGGCCCTTTTCAGGACACTCGGGCTTTAGACCTTTGTCTAGCGTGCTTGCGTTCAGAGATTAAGGGTAGAGAAAAGGCTGCGTAGGATTGAGTGCTTCTGGGCAGTTCGGTTCGCGGCCAACCCACCCCAAAACCTGGCCGAAGCCTGAAACCCCAAGCCCCAAGGCCCGAACGCCTTCTCCTTCAAATTCAAAATCAAAACCAAAAGCCCTAAACCGTAAGCCGTAGCTCACACGCTCCAAGCACCCCCACAACCTCAAGCCCGTACCACGTTTTGAGAAGGCCCTATCAAAGCCCATAGATATACAGCTGTATAGAGCCCTAGACCCAGACTCTCATCAGGCTCTGCAAAAACCATAAGAAAATCGATGACACTCTGTAAGAAACCAAGAGCTACACAATCTTAACAGCCCCATAACACCTTGAAGCAAAATCTACAAAATCCGTAAAAGGATCTTGTAACTCAGAGCCCTGAGCTGACGAGGCCGGTCGTCGTGTCCGAGGTACCGGTCTACGTCGCTTCGTCTGCACCCTTTTGAAGGAGCTCGAGGAGAGGGTTTAAAGTTAGATAGGATACATATTTATATATATATACACATATGTATATACATATATGTATATGGGTATACCTATATATGTGGATTTATACAGGGGTTCTCCATGTGTTTGCTTTGTGGGGCTACGGGGTCTTGAGCCTGTGGTTGTAGCATTCCTCCTTGAAGGACTGTACAGCGAGCCTTAATCCTTGTGTAAGCAGATACCGGCCTGAAAGTTCAAGTCCAAATAGGGTTTAGGGTTTAGGGTTTAGGGCTCTGTGAACCGGACACAGAGACAGAGACAGAGACAGAGAGAGAGAGAGAGAGAACGAGCTGGAAACTAAACGAAGGATCCCTGGCTTGACTTATTTGATTTGACTGCTTTGTAGTCTGCACCCTTCTGCTCCCACTACTCTATGGTGCTGGAAGCTTGAAAGTGCCCCTTGAGACCTCAATCTAATGTAGGGGCCTTAATAATTAGCCTAGGGTCTTGGGGGCTGTTTATAATAATTATAGTATAATGTCTCCAAACCCTATTTTAATTATTAAGGCCTTCTTTGCTATGGTTTCTGGACCCCAGCGGCCTCAAGCGATGGTTCCCGGAGAGCCTTAGGTTAATGCGTCGCGGATGTTTGGACCTACAGCATTTCCTTTCTGGAGCCTCCGCACCCTGTAGCAGGGTTTAGGGTTTAGGGTTTAGGGTTTTCCACTAGACTTTAAGTGCCCAAAGCCCCGACAATTTCATCAACCACGTCAGAAACCCAATGCAAATTCTGGAAGACCCGATGAAGCCAATGAAAGAAAAGCTTTGCATGGCAAATGAAGAACTCACAAAAGGCAGCGCGTGCGGAAAAAGCACAGCAAGTTAAACAGCAGCATGAAGAAACAAAGCCTAAACCCTAGCGCAGTGTCCCTGCAGTGTGACCCAGTCAGCGAAGCGGGTGGGAAAAAAAACCTAAACCTTTAAATCCCAACCCTTATAAGCCTTTAACCACGAACCCCTAAGCATTAAACCCCTAAACCCCTAAACCCTGAAGCCCTGAAGCCCCCTAAACCCCAACGTAGCCCGACGCCATGGCCGAGGTAGCCCTCGAAGACCGCGATGGCCGCAGGTTTGAAGATAAGGGCAGCTGCAAGTTTGCCACTTGACGCTTGGGTTTTTTGGGGCTTGGGGGTTTACAGTTTAGGGTTTGGGGGTTTAGAGTTTAGGGTTTGGGGTTTGGGGGGCTGTCTGCAGGTGTTGTTTCCTCAAGTTGTGTCGATTGTTGTAGACTATTGGATCTTCATGCAAGGTTTGCACGTTTCATAAGCGTTTCAAAAGGGCTCTGTATGTTTTCCGAATGACAAGGGGTTCTGTCTTGGTTTAGGGCTCCGGAGTCGAGGGCGAGGGCTTTAAGGGATGATCTGGGTCTGGGTTGTTCAGAGTCTTGCAGCGTGAGCTTTAGGATTCCGGGATGCTTATGATGCTTCTGTGCAGGTCTGACAGCATGGAAGTATTGGCTCTCAGTCTCTTGCAAGTTCTTTGTGTGAGACCCTTTGTTCCACATGTTTCAATCTCCTTAGTGCCCAACCCTATCCGAGTCACCTCACCCCTATGACGAACATTGCACACCACAAGCCTATTGTAAAACGTGACAGCAAACCCAGAACCCGAAACTATCTCATTGTCTATACTTAGAGACGGCTTAGGGGAGAAGTTGAGGATGCATGAGGCTTCAGTGCGGGGTCGGGTCTATCCGAGTCAGCCGAACGCTGGGAGATGTTCGTTAAAAGTGACTTTGTAGGGTTGAAGGCTGGACTGAGGTTCGTAGCGTCTTAGATGGACTCCGGCTCAGAGGCCCTCTAAGTTTGGACTTTCGGCTTGGAGTTTTAATTTAGGGAAAACAATCTCGAGTCTGTGGCGGCACTTTGTCACAGATGATGTAGCCTTGAACCCAAGCTTGTAAAGTCAGGCCGAAGGATAGCATGTTCGAGCTCAGAATGTAGTTGTCCGGGTTTCTTGCTCGGTTCAGGTACCAAAGGCCCGCACCAGCCCCAAGGCCCATAGTACATAAATGTAACCGAGTCTATTGCTCACGGTGCTTCAGCCGAAGTCTGAAGTAGGAGGCATCATGTTACACCCCATAAAATGAGCTTCGCGACTGCCAGGTAAAGTACCGATGGATGCGGGGTCCGCGCATTCAACCTTGCTTTTACCACCCACACAAGATGCCACTCGGGCTAAACGGAAACCCGAGGAGTTTTGGCTTCGAACCATTCAGAGTCTGGAGGCAAGTATCAATGTTCAGCAGGACGACCTCACGTAACGGAGATTGTTGCCAGTATGTCTATAGATACTGCTGAGAGTTGCATTCTTGTCATTATCATTTGTATCATTGTTATCAATGTTGTTTGCAGGACTTGATAGCATTGCTCACTGCCATGTACATTGCCAGAGGATCCCAACAACAACTGCCGCCAATCCCCGTGGCCATCTCAAGCATGGACGGTGTATGAGCATCATTCATGCATTTCGTGGAGATTGCTTTTGCTCAAGGGGGCGAGAGCTTGGCCCGAACAGTAGGCCTCTAGGCCTGAACTCTGCGACCGTGGGAGAGGAATTGTCAGCTTCAGCTAGGCAGCTAGAAGCCATCCACCTGACTCCCAAACTCGCTACCCTTTTCGGGCTGGCTATAAAAATCTCCTGCTAGTGGTCCTTAAATGGCCAGGTTTTCTCGGGTTCAAATAGCCCCTGCTAAAAAACCCTTCTTCGCACCGGTACCCTAAATCCCTGTGGAGGGCTGAGTCTGGCTGCGTACTGCTTTCTACATTAGGGTTCGTAGGATTGGGGCCTACGTAAATACAAATCTTATTCATGAGCGTTAAGATTGCAGTTATCTTAAACTATACCCCTTAGATTAGAGGCTTACAACTCCAATCGCTAAGCCTGCATCCTTTGCTGCCAGGCCCTGTACGCTAGGGTTCAGGGTTTTGGGACAAAGGTTTGGGGGTATACATCCTGAAGCTGAGATTCTGATCCAACCGGAACCCTATGCCCTTCCCTAGACCCTGAACCGAGCACTGCCACCAGGTCGACCATCCGTGATGTGGCCAAGACCTGGAGACACTACTGCTCCCGAGAGTGTTTCCTTAGAGGCGCCTACCGGGCCTACCGCTGAAGCCGACTACTATAATATACGATCATACTGTTAGTTATAGTACAATATAGTACGTTATAGTAAAGGATACTACAGTATACTGTAATATACTATCTAGATCAAGAGAGGGTTTGGGTATAAACGGATTCAGAACTAGGGTTAGGGCTTGAACAGGATAGGGAGTTGGCTCTTTTTGTTTTGGGGCTTGTGGGGATTTATGGTGTAGCAGGTGGAGGGTTTCGTAACACGGGTTCACGGGGCAGGTCTGGGAATTAGCATCCGTGCCTAGCCAGTGTTAGCTGATGAATTAGTTATGGGGCGATAAAGGGTTTATTCACACTATCACACAGGCGGCACTGAACCCTATAAAACCTTAAAATCCCCGCATAAGCCCTTGATTCTTAAACCCCCCTTGAAAAATCATAAGGCTTCGTATAGGAATTAACACATATACGTACACGTATGCATATATACATACACACACACACACATATATATATATATATATATATATATATTTACATATATAGATATACGCAAACAGACATATATATATATATATGTATGTATGTATGTATGTATGTATGTATGTACATGTATATACACATGTAGCAGTATGAACTTGTTTAGATCCGCTTCGTATATCAGTTTTGCTGCCCATTGGAGGATGGCACACTCTGCCACAGCATTCCTGGAACCCGAAGCCAGAGGAGAACGAAGCCGAGGACTTCAGTCTTCAAGTTTCAGAGTATTGTTCGTGGATTTGTCATGGGGTTGCAGTAGGTATAAGGACTTAGGGCTCAGGGATTCATAGGCAGTTAGGGTTGAGGGATGTGAGGCATGAGGGGTTTGGTTGAGCTGCCGGTCCTTCTCCGTTGCGATGCCGAAGTGTTGCACGAAGCCTTGGGCTGGATACGCGATTATTCCATTTTTCTTGCTTATAAGGTGCTTGGTCTGAGCTCATCGTAGTCTGGTGCCTTGCTGAGGTAGGACCAATGGTTGGTGTGTGTGTGTGTGTGTGTGTGTTTGTGAGTAGAGCCGAGAAGGCGTGTTCTTCACTCCTCCGGTTTGAAAGGTGCTCATATTCATGGCTTATATGATTGGTGTCCTTGTTGTCTTTCAACTTTTCCGTAGATCAACGTGTCCAGAGGGATTTTGGAAAGCCTGGGATCTGATCTAGACCTGGGTGCGTCCTCAGGCTGTTGATAACCGAGGCTGTCGAGATGGCAATGCCTTGACACTCCAGACGGCACAATATAGGTAAAGTAGGTATACGGTATACACTCGAAAAAGATTGTTGCAAAGGGCACCGGCAAAGCCACCCTACTTCCGAGAAATCTCCATCCAGTAATAAGGTTCATAAATCTGAAACGTTAGAAAGCCGTTGCAAAGCCCAGAATATTGCTTGCGCAGGATCCAATTGCGCAGTGGACAGAGGTGGGGAGTTCCCGCCACTTCGGCACGGGTTTTCACAGAAGCTGTTCGGAGTTCGAAGAATCGCTGTGCTTACTTTTACAAGCCAACTCGACTCCCCCGGCCTGAAGAGCTTACCATTGCGGCGGCTTGTTTTCACAAGCTAGCGACTTGATGTGTGTAAGATATGGCCGCAACGTCCCGTTCTAACCTGTTTTCAGATACCGGCAAACCCCTGTTCTAATCTGTCATTGCTTACATGTGTTAACTTTCGTCCTGCAGGGGAGCTTCGGGCTGGTAGAGAGGCAGTGTATCCCCTTCAGGGGCACTCTAGGGTGACTCTAGGGATACTTCAACTTAGGTTGGTTTAATCAGGGTATTGAGGTGTAGGGTCATCGCAATTGTCGTCGAGGCCAGCGGCTAGCCTGTATCACAGGCGTTTCCGCCTTCATCAGCCGAGGTCAGTACAGCCCAACGCAGAACGACATCGAGAGACCCCTTCGCTTGGTGCCTTCTCTTGGTAAGGGCCCAGAGTTTCGGTTTCGAGGGTGGCCTTTGCACATCGGTTCTGAGTTCTGAGTGCAAGGCTAAAGACGGACAGGCTAATTCGGCCCCTAACACCCCGAGCCCCAGGCCAGACTTGCTGCCCCAAGCCTGAGCAGATAGTCATCCGTAACAAAACCAGATTTCGGCGCAATATGATCGTGGGCCTGGGGGTGGGGGTACCCTGAGGACCATCGGTACCGTGGAGATCCCCTGTTATTATATATATATATATATACATACACACACACACACATATACATATATATATATATATATGTATATATTAGGGCCCATGTAGGTCTGCGCAGCTGTTTTCGTTGAGTGTTTGGGCTTTCGGGTCGGATGAAGAAGCCCCGGCTCGTCACCAGGAAAGTGCTGTCACCGAGCTGCTTTTGCACATTTCGGGGTTTGGGGTTTAGGGGGTTTCTGGTTCGGGTTTGAGTGTTTTTTAGAGGGAGATCTTCAAAACGCAAGGTCCTGCACCTTTAAGTCCACGGAACCTAGACCCCCAAGTACGGGCCTAAACTCACGTAACATGTAGCCTAAACACACAGCTGGGGATGTTTTCAGAATCACCTACAGCATAGAAAGGTATATCTCCCACCCTACATGAGAGACCATAACCTTCTACTTTACTTTGCAGGGCTTAGGGGTGTCCTGGCCGGCCCGAGCGCTTGGAGCACTGCCACCTTTAGAGCTAAGATCCCGAGCCCCAGAGAGGCTTGAGGCTCCGTATCCCAAGGGTCCAGAGGACACAGTGATTGGGGACTTGGGTTTAGGATAGTAGTTATAACGTAGGTTAATATTTGGGAGGGCATATATATATATATGATATGATTATTACGTACTTGGACCCTTCGCGTGTTAAATCACCCAAGTACAAGCAAAATACTGAATCCAGGGCCAACCAGGTAAAGCAAGCTCCTAAACATCCAAGCCTCCACAGCTACCCTTGCCTCAGGACATCATTCCCCTCACCAAGAGTGGGAAGGAGGCCTGAACGGTACCTGACTGCTGAAGTAGACGCAAAACCCCAAGCCTGGAGCTTTAGCTCCATACACCCCATAGCCTAAAATCCACATACTCTAACCTCTAGGCCCGAAACCCCCCATACTCTAACCTCTAGGCCCTAAACCCTCATGGGATGGGTTCGGGCGTCCCTAGGTTTGCGTCACAGGCCTCCCGGGCATTGACTTGGAGACTTTTGCATGGTTGGCATGGTTATCTGCTTTTTTCTAAGTCAAGTCTTCCTTTTAGGCTCCTTGCGGCAAGAGCGGCCTGGTCTGGCAGTCTAAGAGCCAGGCAAACTTAGGTTTGCATCCGGTAACTTTGCTCGGGTTCGATCCTCGACGTCCGTCCTGGTAGTGCACAGGGACTATGCGACGTCCATGCAGGTTGCACAGGGCTCCCAAGCTTGGGCTTGGCCTTCCGGCTTGAACTGCTTACGCAGAGACATTACGCGCTTTCAGGGCTTTCGAAGCCCGTGCGGCGCTCAAGCCCAGAATGCAAGGATGATAGTCTTCGTGTCACTTTGTGTAGATGGTTAATTGTACAATACTTAAATCGTGAACCCTGAATTTATATAGTAGTCTAGATATGATCACTGCAGTTCATAAGATTGCTGTTAAGTTTCAAACATCAGAAATACTATAGACCACCTCAACCCTAAAGCCTAGGATCTAGAGATTCCATGCCAGGCGAAGGGGAAGATGACAATCACCACAGGAACGGTCATCCCGACGCCAAAGGAAGCCCGGATGCGCCAGATGATCAGCAGCTGGGCCTTTACATCCGAGTTTTTGTTTTGAGCTTTATTTTGGGGTTTCAAGGATTTGAAAGTTACGGCTTTGGGTTTGGGATTAGGCAGGAGGGCCTGCTGAGGCTCGACCCTGGGCTTTCGATCTATGGAGTCTTGCAGGGCCTTCGGGGCGTGGTGCTTAGGGTGCGAAGGTGCATGTTCGCTTGCGTCGTTGTCCTGCAGGCTTGGTCCTGTGATGCTGTCGTAGGTTTTGGGTTTTCCGCCGCTATAGGTTTCCCAGATGCCTGCTCCAGGCAACGGTGGAACCTTCAATGCGGAGTGGCTGCAAAAGCAGTTCAAGGCGCTACGGACTCGAACACCCCCGAACCTTCAACCCTGAAATCCTTCAGGGCTAAGCCAAAGAGTTGGCCGAGGGACGTGGGGTGAGTGTATTGTGGCATGCGCAGGGTATGTACGTGATGCAATCTAGCTTTGGTCCGTATTTTGTGGAGGCTGGCTCCCATGCATTGCTGACGCTCTTCTCCCAATGCCTTTTAAAGCCCTGAATACTTAACTTAAGCTCTCTACAGAATCCTGACAGAAGCTTCATCCCTATAAGCCCTGACGGCCCTCAAGCCCCGATCTTTTTGTCGAACCTTCCCAGAAGAAAACGCAGGAAAGCTGAATTAGACCCTGAAGGTTTTTAATTGGAACATCCTGGCCGATCTCTATGCCACAGAGAACGTGGCTTTTCCGCACGTTGAGGGGTGTAGGGTTTGATCTGGGTCCCAGCAGAGTAAGTTGCAGGCTGGATGCAAGAGGTTTGAGGGTTTACCGTCTACGGCTTATGCTTTCAAAGCCTGGAGCTTTAGGGTTTGGGCTGTACTGCTAGCAGGGTTTACGATTTTGGGTATGGTTTGGTTGGCAGGAGTTTGTGATTTTACCAGTTCTTCGGTAATAAGGGGTGACGGTGAGGGTAGAGTGGTTTTGCGAGTGATGTTGTGCGTGGATTTTTTGTTTAGAGTTGGAGTCCCTGCAGAGTGCAACATTACTAGACTTCCTTATATTCTCTTCTATACCTCCGAAGTCTATTAGACATCTGGCCCGCAATATACTTTCGTCAGAAGCATTTTCTAGTTGCTCCAGCCCTTCCATCAACCTTTGCTGTATAGCACTGTAACCGAAGGGCTCGGAAATACCTGAGAGCTTCTTGCTCTGTTTGCGCCACTGCGCTGCGCCCAGCCCAAGGTCTACCCCTACTGCGAGAAGTGGGCCCTCAGCTGGAATTGGCGCAAGCACCTCATCATCAAGGCCGGCATTTTCGATGCACGTGTTGGGGTTGGAGGGTTTCGGGGTCAAAAGGCTTGGGACTTTCAGGTTTGACGCTGTGACGCTGTTGAGATTCAACATCTATGCTAGGTTTCTGTTCGCGTTGAGAGGATAGATCAGATGCAGGTTGTTGAGTTCTTGTGCTGAAGTTGTGCATGTCACCAATGTCTGAGGATTAACGGTTCAAGCTTCGTTGTTGATGAGACACACGCATTGTGTGGGGACCTGGTTAGGAGGACTGGATTCCAACTCCCCGACATGGCAGCATCCCTATCAGCAGCCTTTTTAAAAGGAGCCAGGGGTCAGGGTTAGAGCAGATTTCTACATCCAACCCTGACACCTCAAACCCGAAAAGCTAATCAGCATTTCCAAATCCGAAGCGTGCAGTCCCAAAAAAGTTATCATCGACGGATGGTTCTGCTTCGGGTTCGGGTCTTGGTGACATAAGACCTTGAGGTTTGGCTGCCCTTACCCAAAGCAGATCGCCGCAGGAAGTGAAGTCCATGGGTGCAGATATCATCACTCTTCAGGAGGCGTCTGGCACATCAGGGTTTAGGCTTTACGGGCTTAGGGTTTATGGGGTGTGGGGCTCAGTAAAGGGTTTTTCGGGTCTAGGGGCCTGGGAGCCTAGGGGCTTAGGGGCCTGGGAGCCTTTGGGCTTGAGGGCTTGAGGGATACAAGGCTTCAGGGTGTTTGGGCTTTGCGGTTTCAGGGTTTGAAGGACTTAAATGTTAAGGTAGTGGTTTACTCAAGGCATTTAATGTGTTTATTTTCCCGACCTGCGCTGCATGCTATGAGAGCCGAGTCCCAAGGCCCACAGACCCCTGAACCCATGTAGACTTTGATCAAAGAGCCTTCAAAGACCAATCCAGAAGCCTGGATGATTTGAATTGCTATCCCCCGGAGTCCTTCCTGCTTTAGGGATGGGCTCCAAGAGATCCTTACAACAAGTACTAGGATGCGCGTCTGTCTACCTATGACAATCCTGATAATGTGCAACAACCCAATCCTGTTCAAGTTTGTGGCCTATGATTATTATGACTATTTTGATGATGATGATTGTTGACTTGACTTTTGTACGGAGCCACCCAAAGCTGTTGCGGTAATCGTACCAGTGCTGGCGCTGCGAAGGGGGATTGTGTCATCAGCACCATAGCACTTGTCGCAGGCAGGACAGGCAATCTCAACACCATGACAACGGCTAGTATGTATGGCTGCTTCCACGCTTGCCCTCCATAAGTCTAGCTGTGAATATTGCCCTCGTCGTCATAACTAGTCGGACGAATCGGTGAACCATATGCGAGACCTGCGAAGGGATGGCGTCGAGATGACGGCGCTGACGATGGTGATGTTGGTGATGATGTTGATGCATGTAGGCATGGCAACTGCATCAGTTAGAGTGACGTCGACACAACGTAGACAGTAGCAACATGGTTTTTGCTGACAAAGGGCATCTTCAATCGGAATTTGGTATACTTCGATACAAAGTGCGAGAATCTCCCATACATTAAAGAGGTCCTCTCAGTCCTCTCATGTCCAGAACGTATACACCGAGTACCCCAAACTCTTTAGACCCTATGTCGCCTATGCCTCCGGTCCAGAAGGTGCGCTATTTGATTTATATATATAGTGACACCGCTGTCTTCAAACACACCTTAGCCCCTAAATCTATTCCCCAAGCATACCTAAACCCTCAACCTTCGACGCCCTGAATCCCTAAACGCTAGAGGTTCAGAAGGATGCCTTTGACGAGTGGTTCAAACCAGAGTTGGCTGCCGATGGCTACGATGGCCTCTTCCAGCAGTCTCGGGGCTTGTGACATTAGAGGGTTAAGGAAACGAGTGCGGCTTACAGGTGAGGTGTCGCAAGGTTCGGGTGTTACAGGGTTTAGAACTTGGGAATGGGGGTTTGCAGTTGAGGGCTTAGAGGGTTTGAAGAGTTTCATATAGGTTTGCTTTGGAGGGCTTGTGGTGTAAGTAGAGCAACCAACGTACCTCAAACGCAGAAACTCACTAGGATTACTCGTCATATCCTTTCTTGCCAGGCACATTGGTCCCTCCATGGTGTCTACAAGCGTTGGAGATTCAGGGTCAGACGTTGAGGGTTTAGGGTTTCGCTTAGTGCATTGCAGTCCCTGCTCAAAAAAAAGGGATCTTTTGTGTTGGGGTTCATGGCTGAGGGCTTGGGTTTAAGTTTGAGCCCGAGGATTCGAGGGTTTCTTGCTGGCGTTGGCGCAGGGTTTGCGCCTAGTTTGAGATTGGGATGTTAGGTGTATGAGGCTTGGTCGGAAAAGTCTCTCATTATTGTTTGCTTTCGGGGCTTGGGACAGTTTACAGAAAAGTGCGGGGATTCCGCTACGTGTGGTCTTTACGGCCTTTCGGTGGTGTGTTGGTTTGAGGTCCGAAGTAGCCCGATACAGGGTAGGCTTAGAGATTTAATAGGCCCTGACCCGAAAGCCGCACAGGGCCGTGACAGAACCCAAATGCACAAACCGAGCCCCAACACCTCAAACCTAAGCTTGAAGATCCAAGCTGTAAACCGAAATAGCTATACATCCTGACTCCCAGAACACTGTGAAGCTTAAGACTTTAAACTTACCTATCCGAACCAAGGAAGAAGCTAAAGGATCCCTAAAGCAACAGAAGAAAGGCATACCTGAATCCTAAAGTCCATAGAGGCTTTTAAAGTCCGAAGCAAGATCCGCGACAGGAACGCTGAAATGAACCATTATGGATCCTCCAAAGCTGCTTGAAACCTTTTCAAGTCCGAGCCCAGGAAGAAGCGAGATCCGATCTTCCATCGCGGGAAGCCTCCTGGGCAGCATTTGACGATGCAGTCGGGGTTCTGCCGGTTCTGCTGCTTTGTGTGTTCGGCGATGAGATGCTGGGCTGAGTAGGTCGCTCTGGATCCCAGAGAGACACCAGCGATTTACAAGATGCGGGTACCATGCCCGTTAAAAGCTGGTTATTGAGTAGCTCTATGCCCGGCAGTAGCAACACCCCGGAGTTCCAGCGCGGCCACTATGGGGCCGGGACATAGACCCCAAGCAGGAAAAGCAGAGAACCACCCGAAAAGAGACCGCTAGTAGGCGCCCACCGAGCAGCGGCTTAGCGGCTAGGGTGTAGGCATTCGGGCTTAGGGTTTAGCAGCTAGCGCCTGACCAGGGTTTATGAAATGGGATTTTCCGAAAATAGAGGGGTACCTTATTTTGGGGTCCTTATAATAAGGATCCTATTATTTAGGGTACTATATTAGGGTCCCCTATTTTCGGAAACCCCCAAATAGGAAGCAGGGCTGAGCAGCTTTGGGGTTCCGTTTGGGTCTCGGGATTCTGGTTCGCGGGTTTCAGCTCTTTTTATGCCGCCGGTTTCCCCGAGCAGCACTACAGCAATAAAGTGCTCGGGATCACGGTTTCCATATACTGTATGCATATAGTATCTTATAGTGTCTTGCAGTATAGACTATTACCTAAAACCCGGTTCTACTTTTTATAAGGCAACTATATGGTGAGAACGAAGCCTTTCGAAACCATGCATACATCCAGGTACACAAGCGAAGGCTGCGCCACGTATCTCGCTTGGCATGGACTTCCGTGCATATGGGAATTCCCATGAAGGTCTCTTTTTAGGTCCCCGATATGGTAAGGCACCCTTATAAAAGGGACCCCGTAAAGGGAACATAGTTTAGAGAACTACCCATATGGCGGTTCGTTGTGTCTAAGGTTTAAGATCGGGTTTCGGAGCTCGTAGCTCCCCCAGACCTGAGTCCGTCCACACCTTTAGGGAGAAAGCGCCGCGGGGTATCGGAGCCTTGTTGGTGGGAACCTGGGTCGGGATTCGGAACTCTATTTGGTGGCTTCAGGTGTTTAACTTTCGAAGATTTGATGGGGGGAGGCTGAGGTTTACGACTAGGGTTTCAGCCCGTGGAGACCGTTGGCTTTAGCCTTTAGGATTCCAGGGCTTAAAGGTTTAAAGTTCTTTGTTTCGAGATTTGATGTGGGGAGGGCGTTTTTTTTTACGACTAGGGCTTCAGCCTCTTGAGATAGGTTGCAGAGGTTTGGGTTGCCTGGTGGCAGACGACACTCAAGTTGGTAAGCTGCACCGTTTTGTTGCAGTAGAATGATCGCAATACAATCAAACAGCTTACCTTTGGCTTCGCCTGGGAATTTGGATAAGTTTCGTCAAAGCTCGTTTGGAATCCTGAACACCGTTAGTCACGAGTCTCTTCGGCAAACCTTTCCCACTCTTTGAAGGTTGCAGGTTCTCCGTTGCAACGGCTATATAGGTGTTGTCGGTGCTTCCGTGTTTGTCTCCCGAGACATTTCACCGTTACTTGAGGTTGCTTTTCTGTTTTGGGGTTTATTTTGTCTGGTTGGTTCCACTTCCCGAACTATTCTCATAAGATTAGTCACCTTCCTTCACCCTATAGGGTCCCCTTCAAGGAACTCCAAAAGCCTGAAGAGCCCCAGGTTCTGGAGAGTGTCACGATTCAAAAGAGTGGAAAAGCACATCTTCGACTACGACAGACTTTCCCAACAGGACGAGGGCTTTCGGGTTTCCGGGCCTACAAGAGTGAAGAAGGGCTGCTCTGACGGTTTAGGGTTTAGGCTTTCAGTGCAATTTTAGGGTTTAGGGTTTAGGGCCTTTTATTTTAGGGTTTAGAGTCTAGGGTTTCTCTGCCGTAGTTAGGGACTTTAGGGTCGTAGCAGAGCAGCAGCTTCTCACTGCAGGCATGAGGGCAAGTGCACTGCAGGCCCCTCCTCCAAAAACGGCTCGCAGAAGGATTATAATACCCGTTACCCCTTGCTTAAAGCATTGCTATGGCTTTCCCAACGGGACGAGTGTCACCGTCAGGGTTTAGGGCTGTAGGATTCTAAATCCTAAACCCTAAACCCTAATAAGGGCTCGGATAGTGAACCCGCAGCCCGGTCTCGCAGCAATGTTTGGGAGTTATTGGCACAGGCCGGAACGGGGATCCATGGCTACATAGTTTCGGAACGGCGTCATCATGCTTTGGTAGAGTTAGCGGTGGTGCAACATTATAGACCAAAAGCCTAACACCGCGTATCCCATACCCTAAGCCCGAAACCAGAGCCTAAATCGTAAGCCTGAAATCTCAAGTCCGAAATTCGATGTCATTATGTCCAAAAACCTGTAGACCCTGAATGGCATCTCAACTCGAAGCCGGAAGAACACCTTTCCGAAGTCGGTAGGCCCAGAATGGTTGACAATTCAGGGGCCGAGGACTTGATTTTCTGGGGGGTGGGTCTGAGCCTGACTAGGAAACCGATGGAATCAGGGCCGAGGGTGCAAGGAACTTTCTGTAGTCTGCAGATCCCTGTTGACAAAGGACCCGTTCTTTCTAAACGAGTTCAGCCCGGCTAGGTCCTTCGGGATTGAGGGATGTACGGCAGGCCGTCTTTTCTGACAACTAATTTAAGAGAACGCCTTTTTGTCTTGCTCGCTGCAGTAGGGTCAGGAAGTTTAGGGTTTAGGTATGCTTTTACTGGAACGGTAAGCATGGTGTGTGCCAAAACGCGGGGCGGGGGGGGGCATCCGGAGGAGGTTGGATTGCCTGCCGATCTTCCGCATCATACCTTTGGAGACTCATGAAACTAATCATCTGCACATACTTGTGGTGGAGATTTAGCTCTGCTTGCAGTGGTGAACTTGCAAAGCAAGCGACCAGCTCTTCCTGACAGCCTGACAGATTTCGATCTTCCGAACTTGCATGGGGATTAATCACGACCTGCCGGAATTCCCATGGCTCCGTCGCACAGCTGTCGCTTGCGCCGCCATGCCTGCGTCTTTCATCAGCATAAACACAAACCAGTGGTGCTGCTTGGCTTCGTTAAGAAGCACGCTGGGGCTTCGAACTTCAACACTTGCTATTGCCGTTTTGTGTTGACAGCTCGTCAATGAACACTACCACCAATGCCACCGTGAAGCCTTCAGAGCCACCACCACCACAACCACCACCACCACCACCGCCACCACCCAAAGCGACCACACCAAATACCAACAACTGTGCCATAACCAGCATCAGCACCAGTACCACCACCACACGCACTAGTCAACCGCGCGTCTTAGTAGGTAGTAAGTAGTGCTTTTGTTCTTCCTCTGTTTAGCAACAGTGGTTGGAAAGTAGTTGCTGTTGCACATGTTGTAGCAGTAGGAGTAGTACATGAAGTAAGAGTAGAAGTAGTAGTAGTCGTCGTAGTAGGAGGAAGAGGAGCAGCAGCAGTAGGTGCTGTATGACGGCCAGGATCAGCAAATACTCGCAGAAGGCCGACTGCTTCGACCAGGCAGACCTGCGAAGACATGCAGCCCACGTGGCATCCTGGATCTCCTACAGCGAGCCGGGCCGAGTTCCAACAATGGACGAGTTCAAGCTCTTGAAAAAGTATTTTGACAAGATGGATGGCCGGCGGCTGCCTCGTCGACTGAGAGATGTCTTATCGGACATGCAATCTGTGCTCCAGTCTCTCCCTAAGCCTGCACATGAGGCTTGGAATAAGGCAGAAAGACAGCTGCAAAGGAGCCTGCGGAAGCTGCACCAGCGTGGCAATGAACCAGTGGCAGACGCAGTGATGGTTGCTTCACATGATGACATAGTGCTTGCAGAACCTAGAGCCGAGCAGGACGATTTCGCGCAAGAAACTGGAGTGGACGATTCTTCATCTCCTGGTACATCCGCCATTGCTCACCAACACTTGAGACTATTCAGGAAGAGGAATGAGTGGAGCTTTCTGGATGACTCTCAGAAGTTGGAGCGCTTGAAGCAGGCCGAGCAGGCAGCACGTCGCCCACGGAGCAGCCTCAGCCAAGCAGAGCTGACAGACATCATCAACACTGCCGCAGCTTGCCTTGCAGCTCCTCACAGACAAGCGAGGCCGCAAGATGATGATGTTGTTGATTCAGAAGAATTCGGGGAATCGGAGGGCCCGAAAACGGATCTACAGAAACGAGTTCGGGTGTTGTTGCTGCTGGCCTTGCGTATATGGCGGATGAACCAGTTCGACTGTCATGCCATCCAACATGTCTTGGATTCCCTGCAAGAGAAGATTAAGAAATTTGAGCACAATGTTGGACAGATTCAAGAGGCAGCTGCCGGGAAGGCTTGGATGAGAATCAAGCATGCGGTCGATGTGCTGATCCCGGTTGCAGCGGCGCCCACGATCTCCCAGCTGCAAAGTGCAGAAGCCCAAGCCCAACCTGCTCGTGACCGCAAGCCTTATAAAGCCGGGGTAAGACTGGAGCGCCAGAGTGGCATCCAGAACATCAGCTGGAGTGTGGTGGGTGCGGCATGGGAGTGCCGAGAGTACTCGAGAAAGGGCAACGGATGGAAAGCGAAAACTCGCACATTTAAAATTAGCAAGTTCCTCGAGCAGGGCCTGGACAATGAGGCGGCCGTCGAGGCTGCACTGCAAGAAGCAAAGGCCTACCGCGAGGAGCTCGTTCGCGAGGGCAAGTTGAAGCCCCCGAAGCCGAGACCCCCACGCTCAACTGTGAGGGGCGTCACCTTTGACATAAGCAAGAAGAAGTGGCTGGTGCGGCTCTACCATCCTGTGAAGAAGAAGCATGTGCACATCGGCGTCTTCCGTGCCAAGGAGGAGGCCGAAGCCAAGGCCCGGGAGATGGCGTCGCAGTTCGGGATTCGATCTGAATACGAGGTGCTGCGGGTGAAGAACTGTTCAGGGCGTGGAATGTCGAGGTTCAGGACTGGCTTGCCCAACGCCGCATCGGAGCCCAAGAAAAGGCTTGCAGGGCTCACGGCTTTAAGTTAAGGGGCTTCGGGTTCTTAAAACAAGCAACGTATGGCACGCATCTCAACCCCGGCAGCAGAGAAGGCCTGGAACGAGGCAACTTGGCATCATCTTAGCTCAAGGGTGTACTAATTGGGGCGTGGGCTAGAGTGAAATCTGATTGGAATCTGCAGACTCTGGCTAGGCTAGGTTCGACATCTTGACCGTGAGCTCTGAAGATTTAGAACACCCACGAAACCCGTGCAACAAGAAGGGCATCCCCCGATAGAACCAATTGCATGTGCCAATTACATAATGAACGCAAGACCTCGACGTCGACAGCCTCTGGAAACTCAACTGTCCAGGCTCCTCAGTGTCAGGCAACCTAAACCCAACCAATGTGAATCCAACGTACTGATGAAATGCCGCCACCGGGACCACGACTCTGCTCCTGTTTTAACAGCGCTGAGTTGGAAGCGTAGTGCTAGCAAGCGTGACACGGCCGTGAATAAATCGAACTGTAGCTGCTTGGTCGTATGCCTTACTCGCCAAGACAAGTAGCTAACCTTTAAGCTGTATGGTGCGCCATAGTCGCAATATAAGCCGCGCAGGTGAAGGAAGCTGGACATGTAGCTTAGGAACATCGTAAAGAATGCACCGAGCAGGAAGTCGCGCACCACGTGAGGGACCAGAAGCAAGAGGAGAAGGCCGACTGGGTACTATGCGAGGACAAACCAAAGCAAACAACACGGTTTCCCGCAGGGGCCTACAGGGTCAACAATACCCACCGTGTTGAGTAGACCATCAGGGTTCAGCGTGTAGCACTTAAACTAAGAGGCTGTGCTGTGTCAGAATGCAACGTCAGGGAGTAATCTAAACATTGGTTCAGGGTCTTGTGAAATTAGTTTGTGAGACTTAGTAGTCGGTACTAGAACCCCTATAATCCACTATGTAATCTCACAAGTAAGCCTGTAGTTCCCGTATGGATGGAACCTGAGAACCCCCTAAACCCCAAATCCCGATAAGATTATACGGGCTCATGAGCAATGTGACTATAACTTAACCTTTGTTCGTATACTCTGAACCGCAAGCCGAGTACTATCAGGCTATGAAGGAACTGAACAGTGATGTGGGTGTTGGGGTTCCCCAGGGCTGTAGAGGTGGCAACACTGACAGAGGGACTCCCAGAGAGCAAGCATCACATCATCCCAAGAAATGAGTCCATAGACCCCCCAAGGTAAATCGTAAACTCTGAAGGTCATAAGCTCTGTCCCTGCCTTTAAGGGTTCCCTTCAGGGGTTTGGGTTTAGGTTCTAGGGTTCCATTACAGCGTTCCTTTGGGTGCAGGTGAACCAAAGGCTCTCCAAAGGCAATATCGCCTTGGCTGTCATCGTGGAGGCCAGGAAAAACTCGGATTTCGAGGTTGGGTCTCCGCAGGGTTTAGGGGGTTTATATGGGGCCCACCTACTTAGGGTTTAGGGTTCATATTAGGCTTACCTACTTAGGGTTTAGGGATTTTGGGTCGGAGCTTGAGGTCTCCACCTCAGTTCTGTGCGCAAGGTGGCAGAGAAGAGAGACTAGGATCAGCAAAGCGGGTCGGGAACACAGGATCGAAGCTAGTGGCCTCTGAAGGGGCTTCAGGGGCGAGACTTTCGAGCATGCAGGCAAGACAAGCCCCAACACCTGACCGATCCCACTTCTATTCGGTTTGCTTCCTGGGGGACTCAAGCATCCCATATCCCAAAAGCAGCAAGTGGCTTGTCAGGACAGGCATATGAAGCGCCTCAGCTGGAGAAAGACGGGGGCCATTGGTTTCGTCTTCGAGCTGAAGGAGTTTGGCTCCTCCTATTCACATACTGGTCGTGATCGACATGTTGATCCCACCTGCATGATGTTATCGATATCCTGATGGTTGAAGCCTTGTACGTTGCCGGGGTGTCTTAGGATAGGCGCGGGTTAGACGACTTAGGGTTTGAAAGGCTTTAGAATGCAGGGCTGATTGAACTTGGGGCAGGTTCGGAGCTTCGCTTTGAGAACACCATAGAACATCATAGAACTACGCAGCTCCACGAGGTTTAGGCCAACGGAAATCTAGCTGCACACAAACATCACCAGCCTGCCTGATCACCACGCACATGCGCGTGCACACACTCTCTCCCTCTCTCTCGCTCTCCCTCTCGCTCTTTCACGCTCGCACAGGACTATAAGTGAATCCTGAAGTCGTCGGCCTGCTCGCCACATGTGGCGCAAATTTGTTTTCATGCCGAGGAACAGACATGGTGCCGGCCATCAGCTTTGTGTGGACTCCTCGGTTGAGGGTTTCAGTTCGGGTCTCGAGTGGGATGCAAGCTATGTAATCTGTGCATCGAGGTTGCAGCAATCACTGTTGTCCCCGATCTTCTGGGCAGAAACCTTTTGCTGCATTGCTTCCTTTCTCAGCCTCTCTCATGCCGGAAACATGCTTGGTCATCGCATTGGAGTGATGCTGATGGACAATGCACACTGCGTGTTGAAACTATTGGGTTTTTGCACATGTTTGACTTGCAAGCCAGCCATATTCCGTTTATTCGTGTCCTTTCAGTCCTTTGGTGTGCGAGCTGTTGAATGCGTTGGGTTGCGTCGGTCGAACCAGAATACTAGCGTTCCGCTTGCACAGTGCTTTCGGCTCCTGGGGTATAGCACAGCGTCGTGAAGACCAGAAATGGTGTTGGGGCCATGTTTCCTCGCGACGCTACGAACCCTCGGCAGTCACGATGCATAGAGTACGAGTCTTCGCTAATCAACAAAACCCAACAGCCAACACCTAGATTACCAAGATGTTGGCAAGAGTGAGCCCTTCGGGCTCCGACAGCCCGCTTGTCACGTCGCTCAGGTGGTCAACACCCACATTCTCTGTGACCCTGCCGCGGCGGATGTGAAGCTCTGGCAGTCCCATCTGCTGATCAAGGCTTGCAAGCTTGTTCCCAATGGCGCGGTGCATAGGCGGAGCCCGGGTCACTTAGCCAACCCCGAACACGGTCACTTGGCCAATCGGAGAGCGCATCGTTTTTCAGGTCACTTAGCAAACCCCGAGCGGTCACTTAGCCAACTCTCGATTTTTTGGCTTGGGGTTTCCTTTTCGGATTCAGGGTTTAGGGTGTCCCTTACGGCTTCGGGCTCAGGGTTCAGGGATTAGGGTTTAGGGTTTCCTTTTAGGGTTTAGGGTTTAGGGTTTCGGGTTTATGTTTTCCTTTTAGGGTTTAGGGTTCAGGGTTTAGGGTTTCCTTTCAGGGTTTAAGGTTTAGGGTTTAGGGTTTAGGGTTTCCTTTTAGGGCTTAGGGTCCAGGGTTTAGGGTTTAAGGTTTCCTTTCAGGGTTTAAGGTTTAGGGTTTAAGGTTTAGTGTTTCCTTTTAGGGTTTAGGGTTTCCT